TACCAAGTAGTGCAACTGTAACATCCTTTGGTAAAACCCCTGGAAAGATATAGCTTATAGCTCCATACACCTCATCCCAAAAGTTTTGAAGTTTGGGGCATGACCAGAAAATGTGTGTATGGTTGGGGATTGCTGAGCCACAGTTTCTCCAACACAAGCTTGGAACCGTAGGGTCCATCTTAGCAACTACATCTGGGGTCCTGAAATATCTGCTAATAATTTTCCATTTAAATTCCCGCCACATATTCGAGTTTGTAACTCGATGTGCTTCAGTCCAGACTCCCTCCCACGTTTCGTCAGAAATGATTTTGGCCGTCTCTGCCTCCCATCTTTGCTTTGTCCAAGTGGGTTTATTAAGGTTCATTGACAGAAATACACTATATAACTTTGCTATCAGTTTTTTATTCCCTTCCCCTTTCTGGAACTGGATTAGAAGATTTTCTAATGGTGTGGGATTTAGTATTCTTTTCCAGTCCCTGTGTGCAGACAAGAAAGAGCGCAACTGTAAATGTCTAAAGAAATCATTTTTCTGGAGATTAAACTTACGACATAACTCTTCAAATGACATAAGTCCGTTCCTGTCAATCAACTGGTGAATGAATATAAGCCCCTGTTCAGCCCACTTAGAAAAATTTCTGTCTAAGAAATTGGGTGTGAAGGATTTGGCATGTCCAATACTTGTTAATATTGATAAACCTCTAGGTATTTTGAATGAAATTCGCACTTTGTTCCAAATGTTAAGAGTGGTTTTAGTCCACAGAGGCAATTCCTTTACTGGAATATCTAAAAATGGCAATACCTTTAATGGTACTGAGCACTTCGCTTGCTCAATACTCAGCCATCTTGTTTGAGAGTCCTGTTGGATCCATGAAATTAAAGGCCTTAACTGAGCTGCCCAAAAATAGTATTTTAAAACAGGAAGATTGAGACCCCCTTCCATCTTACTTCTTTGAAGTGTTTTATATTTTATGCGAGGGCGCTTGCTTTGCCATATGAATTTCGATATCATTTTATCCAATTCAAGGAATGTAGATTTTGGTATGCCAACTGGCACCATCTGGAACAAATACAATAATCTGGGTAACAGATTCATACGAATGGTTTCAATGCGGCCGAGGAGGGACAGAGGCAATGCTGACCATCGCTCTAGATCCTTTTTAATTATATCCAGCGTTTTGCTGTAATTGACATGATACAAATCATTTAATGAGACAGGAATATTGATGCCTAGGTATTTAATGCCCTTCCCTGGCCACCTAAAGCCGCTTTGTTGTTTAACCCCTAGTGGAATATTGCCATTGACATCCATTGCCTCTGTCTTATCAACATTTATTTTATAGCCCGAAAAATGGCCAAAAACAGAGATCATTTCCCTCAGACGTGGTATTGATGATGTAGGATCAGACAGATACAAAAGTACATCATCTGCGTAAAGAGATATTTTATGTTCCTCTGCACCAATCAAAATTCCTTTAATTTCATCATTGTCCCTAATTAGCTGGGCCAATGGCTCAATGCTGACTGCGAACAATAGAGGTGACAAAGGACACCCCTGTCTACATCCACGCTCCAGCTTGAAACTCGTAGACCTGAAACCATTAACTCTGACTGCCGCTTGTGGGGATGAATACAATGTTTGTATCCAATCTATGAACTTAGGCCCAAATTTAAACCTTTTTAACGCTTGAATAAGGTATTTCCATGACACCCGATCAAAAGCCTTTTGGGCATCTAAAGATATTACAGCCGTCATAGCTTTATTTTCTTTTTGGTGAGTCATAATATTTAATAAACGACGCAAGTTATTTCCATAATACCTCCCAACGATAAATCCAGTTTGATCTGGATGTATGATTTGATTTATTATGACATTTAATCGTCTCGCCAGAATACCGGTTAGAATGCGTACGTCCCCATTAAGCATCGATATCGGCCTATATGACCCACAATCAGTGGGATCTTTACCTTCTTTATGTAATACAACTATTGTGGCATCAGACCAGGATGGCGCCATTGTTTTGGTTTCTAAAGAGAAGCGGTATGCTTCCAATAAAAGTGGACTAACGATGTCTATGAAACATTTATAGAATTCATTTATGAAACCATCAGGACCAGGACACTTATTGTTTTTAAGGGATAAGACAACGTTTTTAATTTCTTCTTCTTGAATTGACTTATCTAATTGTTTAGCTACTGTATCGGATAACTCAGAAATATTTATATTTTGTAAATAGTCTGCTATCTTACTTTCATCAGAGCAAGTGTCAGTATCTCGGTATAAAACCTTGTAAAATTCTGCAAAAGTTTCAGCAATATCTTTTGGTTTTAGAATAGATTTATTGCCCGATTTTAGCTTTTGAACCGCATTTGAGGACTGCTGTTTTTTAAGACGGAAGGCCAAAAGTCTGCTCGCTTTATTTCCATTTTCATAGTACTGCTGCTTGGCAAAACGAAGATTACCTTCTATCTTTTCTGATAGTAAGTCTTGGAGCTCTCTGCGTGTTGTATTCAAATCGTTCAGAACCTTGGATGCCCTAGTCTTTTTATGTTGAAGTTCCAGATCCCGAATTCTATCTTCTAAATATTTCTGTTTTGCTGCCTTTTGTCTTTTTTTTGCTGTCGTGTAGGAGATTATGCTGCCTCTTAAATAGGCCTTTGCACAGTCCCACAACATTATGGGAGATGTTTCAGGGGTGTTGTTTATGTCTAAATAAGTTTTGAGCTCCGATTTAACAAAAGCAACAAAGTCTTTGTCATTAAGAAGAGAGGTATTAAGTCTCCATTGTTTAACTGATGGTGTCAATCCTATATTCCACTTGACAGTAACTGGTGCGTGGTCAGAGATTGTAATGGGCAGTATTGAGATATCCTCAATTCTGTGCAGCTCAGCCTTAGCAGTAAAAAAGTAATCTATTCGTGAGTAAGATGCATGTCTGTTTGAGTAAAATGTAAAATTTCTCTCCTTTGGAAATTTGGATCGCCATACATCCACTAATCCAGCCTCCACAGACAAATTTCTAAGCATTTTTCCCATTTTGGATAATGGGGTCTTAGCGGTTGGTTGCCTATCTAAATTGACATTACACAATTAAAATCACCCCCCACAATCAGTAGACCGGAGCTATGCTCTGCAATCATATTAAAAACCGACTTGATAAATCCTGGAACATCTTCGTTAGGGGCATATACATTTATGAAGGATACTGCTGTTCCATCAATTATCCCATTTACCAATATAAATCTACCTTCCTTGTCCTTATGAACTAACGTTTCAGTAAAGTTAATCTGCCTATGTATTAATATAGCCACACCCCTTTTCCTTCCAGAACAGTGCGACGAATAGTAAACTTTATCAGCCCAGGACTTATTTAGTTTTGCATGTTCCAAATCTGATAAGTGAGTTTCTTGTAGTAGTGCTACTTGACATTTTGACTAGGACCTTTTGTTTTAATGGAGGTTTTTGTTTTGTGTTATGGCTTCTTCAGGTTTCCAGATTTAACTGCAATAATTCAAATAAAGCTGGGATTTTTATTTCTATAGCCAATTACAGACAGAAGACAAAAAGAGAGTTTATTTCTGGCAAAAAATTAGCTGAATATAGGACGTTTTATAGAAAAAACATTTCTGAGTTTGAAATATCTAAAATTTCATAGAAAATCTTGTAAATTTGAATTTGAAAAGTCAAAGATTGTAAAGAAAAACAGACGGTTGAGTCTGAGATTTTCTAGAAAAAAAACTTAGAAAACTTGGAAGTTAAAAAAGTTAATTTTCCCATTTTGAAACTCAAAACTTTCAAGTTTAATTTTTTCTAGAAAATTTCTCAAATTATTCTGAAAATTATTTTCAGAAATGTTCTCATTGTTTTAGTTTTTTCTGCGTTGGCTGGAAGACGCCGTCTCATATTCCTGCTTTACATGCAGGTTAGAAAATGTTTTTCAGTGTTTCAGAAGAAAACCTTCATTCGCCGTCATGTTTGTCTTTTCTGAGTTATAAAGACTTAGTTGAGGCTTAACTCAGTATTGTTGGTTATAAATCGGGCCTTTAATTTACTAAATGCAAATCAAAACTCCTAAATTGTTACTTTTCATGCTCAGGTACTTCAGACATAAAAACTAACTTCTACTTTTAGTTTCCCTCTTTTGTTCTAAATGTGTATTTGACTTTATGAAGTTTGTTTATACCTCAAATGAAGTTAAGTGACCACAGAAATACTTTGTGTCAAAACCTGAACATAGGAGTGAAAATGCACCTATAAATGTTTACTATGCAAATGTTGGGAAATAAACCTGGTTTGTGTGATGCTATAATCCTTCTCAGTTTTTATTATCAGTTCCTTTACAGGGTGGTGAAAGAAAAGACTCTTTAGTTTCATAAAATGAACTGCTTGCTTATGAAAGTTTAACAGCATGGGTGGTTCTAGTCGGGGGTCAGCGGGAGGCCAGGGCCCCGGTACAGAAGATAAAATAAAATTAAAGCTAACTGGTCGTTTGGACTGGCTTCATTTTTTTTTTTTACCTTTTATTTTTACAAATAAAATGTAATTTGTTGCACTTTTAGCTTCAGCCTTATTGCTCTAGGGTCATACTCTGTGACTTTTATTTTAGAAAAAAAAAAGATTTTTACATTTTTGTTAGAACTGTCTACTTGTCCTGATAGTTTATGAGGAAGATAATCCTTGAAAAGATCGATGTCCTTCACCTGCGCTTGAGCTGAAATGCACCAAAAACAACCAATCATAGCCAGGAGGCGGGGCTTAGCGCTGGCAATCATACTCATGTAGGTGCTGCTAAATGTAGTAATGGCAGAGAAACATCTACAGGGGATCTGTCTATCTGCACTAAGACCCGCCTCCTGCCTCTTGATTGGTTGATTCTAATTAAAACATTTTTATTTTTCACAGATTCTCAACACAGTTAAAGTTTCAACAAATATCTAAAAATATATATTTTCTATAAAAGTTAGAGAATTAAGATGTTTTTCAGACTTGCTCTCCTTTCTTCAACAGTAAAAAACAAAGTTTTCCAAATGTTTGCTGAAAAGCAGCAGGAACTAATCAGCTCTAATTGCTTCTGCATGTTCATGCAACTACAAAGGACGGCGGGTTTTAAAATTCAGCGTTTCTGGTGCGACCCACATCATGAGGAGCGGAGGCTGGTCGGGTTTCCAGGTCGAGAGGAAATCCAACATGGAGGCCAGGTTCTGGCATCTGAAAGGAGCCGAGACAAAGCTGGTCTGTTCAGCCCAGGAGGAGCCCGGGGGAGGCGGGGGTGAAAGTCTGAGGACGAAGAGGAGGAGGAGGAGTGAGGAAGGATGGGGGAGCAGCAGGAAATGTTTGTGTGGTTTAAATCCGAACCAGAGTCTCTTCTGCAAGCAGTCGGAGATTCAGCAACAACATGGTCAGCAGGTGAGGAAACGTTTCCATTATTTACTCTGGAAACAGACGCTGGAGTCGGTTCTGATGTCGAAATGTTTCGGCTTTTTGAGTTTTACCAAAAGACAAAACAACAAATCTTACCAAGTGTCTCATTACGCTTGATTTTAAACTAACTAAATTATGTTTTCAGCCAGAAGTAGCTTGTTTTAAGTGAAAACAGTACTTCATATGATTAATACTAGCTCCACTGGCAGATCATGTCAGAAATCTTGTTAAAAGTGAAATAATTGCCAGTGGAACAAAAAGTTACTTCTGAGTTTTTCCTGTTTCCACTGTAGGAAGATACCAGAAACTAAAAGCTTTGCAAGATTTTGTGTTTTTTCTGGTGCAGATTAAATTCTGGTCTGAAAATGTTTTGGTTTTCTGAAATGAAGCCAGAGACGTTTTACTGAAAAAAAAAAAAAAAAAAAAAAAACAATCTTCAGCATCTTCTTCCAGTTTCCAGCACAAAAGATGAAACAAACTTCCAGGGAACTTTTCAGCAACAAATAGAAACTTGTTTTAAGCCTGTTATTCCTTGGTATTAATAAAAAGCACTAGGGAAATTATTTCACTTATAAAATGTAAAAAGTGAAATAATCTGCTGGTGGAGCTACAACTGGGTTGCTACGTAACATCCTGTCATTGCCAGGTGAACTACAACGTTTTCATCAATAATCAGGGATTATTGATTTAAAACAGGTTCCTATTTGGAGCTGAAAAGTTACTTTCAAGTTAGTTTTGTCTCATTTCAAGTCACAAAGATATTTGTTCCAGAAACTGGAGCAAAAATCCAGGTTTTGTTTTCAGATGAGATGGAAAGTTTCCCAGGTTTGGAAAAACAGCCTGACTTTTACAGCTCCAAAGAAAATAAAGAAAACTTTTAAAAAGCTGCTTTTAATGTTGAAAACCACAGAAGAGATCGACCTGCAGACGAGACGAGAAGAAAAGCAGATTGTAAGACTTTAACAGGAAGATTAGAGAGAAAGTTCAGATGGGAAGTCCAGACTAACAGAGGAATGTAAAATGGGCGTAGAAGCACAAATTGAAAGCTGGTGTGAAGCTGCCAGGACTGATGGAGCCGTAAACAGTTATGATTTGAATCAATTTAATGCGCCAGAACTATTACTCAATACCATTTACATATAAAAATACATCCTCAGTCGCCAGCCTGTTTAAAGTATTCACTTTTTGCACATTTTGTTGTGATAAAATCTGAAACTCTTTCTACAAAACTACACATTTGATCATATGGAGATAAAGTTTGAATGTTTTCTAATTTATTAAAAGTAGAAAATCAAAATAATCTCACTTACATAAATTCACACGATTTAAAGCTTTACTTATGTTTGAGGTTTGATGTTTTCAATGTGGTTTCAACTTTGTTGTCAGAGTGGAACATCCTGCTGCAGGTTACCGGAAGATCTTTGAGACGGTGGAGGAAGTCAATGAGCCGATTTCTGCAGAAATAACTGGTAAAAACATTGAGGAAATTTGAAAAGGAACAAAATGTGATGTTTTGATGAAATAGAAAGCTAATCCAAAGTAATGTCACTGACTCGTGAAATACATAAGTACTAAAAAATGTATTAAAGATGTCTGGAATTAGAATTATAACCAATCAGAACAAAAAGTCGGATATCTTTAAGTTACTTCATTTGAAATCTCTGTTTCAGGCATTCAGTAATTCATTATGTGTCTTGAATTAAATCTCACAAATTAAAAGTGAATCTGACAGAATGTAATTAGCAATATCTTAATTTACTAATATGTCTATAAACCACTTTCAGATATCTGGATTGTAACCAATTTAATGTTAAATCGACTTGCCATACAACATTCAATCCAACAGGAGGCAGTATGGAAGATCAGAAGAGTCGAAATGCAACACATTCTCACTCCCGACTTGTCATATATTGACGCGAAGGGGCATCGGGTGCTCTTTTGCGTCATGCGATATGAGGACCATAAATGACGGAGTAAGGTGTGTCTCATCAGATGATTTTGATGAACTGTCCCCTCAGGTGTTTTGCCGTCGTGGCTCAGGGGAAGCGTCCTCCGGATGGGTCCGGGTCTTTTCGAGATCGGGGACGAACCGTTCCACCATTTGTTTGATGGACAAGCGCTGATCCACAAGTTTGACCTGAAGGGCGATCAGGTGACGTACTTCAGGAAGTAAGGATGCATCGCAAATTTTAAAATGTTCAGCTGCTGCACACATATGGCTGCATGTTTGGGTCACTGTGGGTCAAAATTCCTGCCAAAAAACTTGGAAATTTCTGAGTTTCAAAAATTATTTTTGACATTTTAAGCTCAGAAAATTCTAGCAATGTTATTTATTTTCCCAACTAAGAAACTTTCTTGTTTTTTCTCCAGAAAATTTATGAGATTATTTTCAAATTTATTTCCTGCAAATTTTGCACTTTTCAACTTCATATATTTCCATGTTCATTCGAGGAAATTGTTCAGATTAATCTAAAGATTTAGATTTTTTTCTTGCAAGTTTTAGTAAAACTGTAAAATTTCCATGTTTAGTCTAGAAAATTTCTGACATCATTTTCAAAGTTTTATATTTGTTTTGTTGAACTTGTCCCATTTTTCATTTTTAATGGCCTCATACGTTGTGATACTCGTTATATTTTATTTCCTCTAAAGTTTCTTTTGTTTCCAGAAACTAGATTAATAAATCTGATTCTGACTAAAACAATAAACCACAACAATAACTCAAAGAATCTCTGCAAATAAAAATCTTCTTTTTACGTCCAAATGAAGCTTTTGAGTTGTTTTTGTGCAGAATTGATGTTTGTGGGCAGGAGAAAGCATCCATATCTATATGGATATCCATATTTATATGGATATTTTTGCAGGTAAGTTTATAATGGCTGTTTCAGGTTCATCAGGACGGATGCATATGTTCGGGCCATGACAGAAAACCGGGTCGTCATCACAGAGTTCGGCACCGCTGCCTATCCAGACCCCTGCAAAAACATTTTCTCCAGGTGAAACTGACAGTGAATGTTTGCCTGGCTGACAACACGAACAATTCATTTAATGAATAGCATCGTGGGCTTAGTGTCGATCTAAAGCCGAGTTGAAATCAGTTTCTTGCTGTGCTTGTGTCTGTTCAGGTTCTTTACGTACTTCAGAGGCATTGAAGTGACAGATAACTGCTTAGTCAACATTTATCCGATCGGCGAGGATTTTTACGCCGTCACAGAGACAAACTTCATCACCAAAGTGGATCCAGATTCACTGGAGACGCTGCAGAAGGTGAAATCATTCAATTCAATTCACAAATACTTTATTTATTCCAGAGGATAAATATTTAGCTTCCTAACTAAATATATAATATTTAATGAGCAAATTAAAGTATTTAGTTTGGAACTACAACATTTCAAAATGTGTGAATAGCATGGTAAAATATAATTGAGAAAATTAAACCTCTACTTTCCCTCGATGACAGTCTAACTATTGCTGTTCATTTTTTACTGTTTAACTTTCCACATCATAGATTTGGGGAAACTGATTCCAGGCGTTTTTTTGTGATTTCTTTCTCATTTGTTTCTCAGGTGGATCTGTGTAAATACCTGTCCATTAACGGCGTCACGGCGCATCCCCACGTTGACACAGACGGTTCGCTCTACAACATCGGAAACTGCTTCGGCAAAAACATGAGTCTGGCGTACAACATCGTCAAGATCCCGCCGGCGCAGAAAGGTGGGAAACGCAGAGAAACGTAAAAAACGTTCAACTACAGGTTCTCATGTCATGTTTGTGTCATAGAAAGATTTTGTATTTTTACAACTTTCAAAAGAAATTCATATTTCAGAAAACAAATCATTCTGTAAATGAAAAAAAAAAAAAAACTACTGTTTTGGAGAACAAACTTATGTTTTAGAAAACAAATTGACATTTTGGAAAACCTATTATTATAAAACTAATTGACATGCAAAACACAAGTCCCTAAACAAATTTACAATTTTGACTTAAGTGTTTTATGAATTGTTAATTTCCTTTATAAAATGTTCATTTGTTTTCTGAAAAAAATTTTTTTTCTAAATTTATTTCCTAAAGTGTTAATTTGTTCTGGACTTTTAAGTGTTTTGCGAGTTCTGGTCTGCAGGTCAATCTCTGCTGTCAAAAGCTATTTTTTTGTGAAAAATTGAGTAGAAATAAAGTAGAAAATAAAATGAAGCAAAATAAATATCTGAGAAATCTGTTTTTTGTCTTTAGATAAATCAGATCCCATTGAGAAATTCCAGGTTGTCGTCCAACTACCGAGCAGTGAAAGATTGAAGCCTTCCTACATCCACAGGTTCACATTTGTCCTCCAGAAAACTTTTTTCTTTTGCTTTTCACCATTTTTGTCCATTTCAATGAGTGTGTTTTGGTCTGTTTTGTTCTCCGTAGTTTTGGTATGACTGAGAACTACTTTGTGTTTGTGGAGCAGCCGGTGAAGATCAACCTGCTCAAGTTTCTGTCGTCTTGGAGCGTCAGAGGAGCAACGTACATGGACTGCTTTGAATCCAACGAAAACATGGGGGTAACAACGAAATATCAGCGTCCAGGCTTCACTCAGCAGGGGCGGCCCTAGAGTTTTACCTTTAGGGGGCCAAGCAGGGGCACAACCAGGACAATGGTGATGTACTAAAATTTAGTAGTTACTTATACTTATCTTCCAACTCTGAATAGGAGTATCTAGTTTATTTACTTTGGATCAGCATTATTAGCTTTTTCTTCTTTTGTTTTTTCCTTTGTTTGTATTTCCTTTTAATTCCTGTGAAGCACTTTGTATTGCCTTGTTGTTGAAATTGTGCTATATAAATAAAATTACCTTTACCTAATAGTTGTAACAGAACTATGGAAAAGGGTTAGGCCCACCTGGCCCCCCCCCCCTCCCTTCCAATATTGCCTTTAAGAGATCAAGCGTCAAAATTCTTTTTTCTTTTTTTTTTTCTGTGGCCCTAATCCTCTTCCGTACATAAATGGAGAAAATGCTATCTTACGTCTGGTCTGACATGAACAAAGTGATCAGGAGCTCTGACTGGGCCGTCCAATCAGATTTTAAGCGGAGCTGGTGGCCCCCCCCAGTCAACCCCGTGGCTACGCCCCTGCTCTACATTATAAAACATCAAAACATTTTTTTCCCATTCCTATGAATCATTGAGTGTTTATTTGCTGCAGACGTGGTTCCACTTGGCCACTAAGGATCCTGCAGGTTACATGACAAACCACAAATTCAGAACTTCGGCCTTCAACCTGTTTCACCACATCAACGCCTACGAAGACCAGGGATTCATCGTGGTCGACCTCTGCACGTGGAAAGGGTGATTGAGAAGCTCTGGATATCTCTATTTGCTGATCGAAACACTGATATTTTATTCGTATTTCCAGGCATGATTTTGTGTACAACTACCTGTACCTGGCCAACCTGAGGCAGGACTGGGAGGAGGTGAAGAAAGCGGCGATGCGTGCGCCTCAGCCGGAGGTCAGGCGATACGTTCTGCCACTGGACATTCACAGGGTGAGAGCAGACACAATCACTTAATGCTGCCAATCCTAATCTCATTTTATCCTGTTAAAAACACCTTTACTATTTAACCATAAAATAAATCATAGCAATAGTTACACTAATGATATGATTAGCATCAGCCTTAGCATTAGCAAAGGCTGATGCTAAAGTGCTAACTTCAATTGAAATTAATTTTATATTAACCATATATCATGTCCTTAAATATTCCTGTGTTAATGTATTTATTCTTGTTTTATTTTGTTCAGGTATTGTTTGAAATAGTTATTTTTAGCTTAGTGCATTAGCTAGCTATGAAAATGTTTAGCGCACGTTAGCTTCCCCTACAAACATTTTCCCCCCAAAAAAGTTGTAAACCACTAATTTCTTTGGCTGTTTTGTAAACTTTCATTTGATAAAAGTTCGGACATCTATGTTGGAAGTTTTGGAAAACAACCCTTGAGAATTTTTCAGTTACACATTCATAGTTGTGCTTTTATTTTGAAGTCTGTTGCACAGCTGTTCCATTTTCTGTCCTCAAGTTCTCACTTTTTAAAAAAAAAAGATTTTCTAGAATATTTCTGAGTTTGAAAAGTTGAAATTTTTCATTTAATTTTTTGCGTTGATTCAGGAAGAACAAGGCCGAAACCTCGTGTCTCTGTCCTACACGACAGCAACCGCCGTCCTCCACAGCAACGGGTCCATCTGGCTGGAGCCTGAAGTTCTGTTCTCTGGACCAAGACAGGGTGAACACACACACACACACACACACACACACACACACACACACACACACACACACACAATATCACCTTCCTGTTGTGGCTGAAAAATTGCTGGTTTCACCGCTGTATGCCCTGTACAATGGCTGCTGGAAAAGAAAAAGTGCTTTGTCATTGATTTCCCATCCAGAAACCACTTGATAAATTCTTGTTTGTTGTGCAGGAGGCCCCACTTCTGCTTTTCAGAAATGTACAGTTGAATAGTGGCGCATCTGTTTGCAGCCATTTTCACATGCGAGTGTAAACATTGAGTTGGGAGCGTGGCCACCATCAGTTTATTGGGATTTAAAGTGACAAGACACCCTAAAATCCTTTTGTCTTTTTCAGCCTTTGAGTTTCCACAGATTAACTACTCCAAGTGTTGTGGAAAGAAATACTCATTTGCATACGGCCTTGGACTCAACCACTTCATCCCTGACAAGGTAGGAGAGAGAGTGGAGCCCACCTCACACATGCACACGCACACACGCACACACACACACAGATTTGTTACCTGCTGTTGGTTTCTGCCTCAGATCATCAAGCTGAACGTCCAGACCAAAGAGACGTGGGTGTGGCAGGAGGAAGACTGTTACCCATCAGAGCCGCTGTTTGTTCCCACACCTGGAGCCACGAAGGAAGACGAAGGTAAGAAAGTTTAAGTTAATGACATTTCTCATGCAAATTTGCTTTAAATGTGTAATTATTAACCAAATAATGAACAGTTGACATTTAATGCTCTTGTAATGATATTTTTCAGTCCAACTTTGATTTAAAGGTGTCATTATTTCCTATTATTTACTACCATTATTTCCGCCTGTATCAGCTGGCTGCGCTGGCCATTGGCGCCATCTAGTGGATGGCAGCCAAACTACACCAGTAAAATGATTTATGGGCAGACGCTATTAGTTAGTCTACTGGAACTAATTTTAATCTAATAAACTATCCCCTAATCAGTATATGAATGGTCTGTGTGACGTCTGCAGGCGTGCTGCTGAGCGTGGTGGTGAAGCCGGGCGCAGAGAGACCAGGCTTCCTGCTGGTTCTGGACGCCATGATGCTAACGGAGCTAGCTAGGGCCGAAGTCAACGCCGTCATCCCGGTCACTTTACACGGGATGTACAAACCTCCTCCTTCGCCCTGAACACCACTTAAATCCCTGTTTTCTACTTACTGATACATTCCGAGCAGTTTGTGAATTAAATACATCACATGGAAATTAAAAGGCACAATTTGAAGCTTGTTTTTGTTTTTTTAGTTCCCTTTTAGCTTTCTAGCCAGTGGTAGCTACATTTAGCTAATCTGCTAACAGCATAGCTAATTAGTCTTTTATTTATAGATTTACAAACAAAGCAGTAATGAAAGGCAGAAAGGTCAACATTAGCTCCATTATTAGCAGATTAGCTCATCATAGTCATGATACCTGCACATGTGATGCTGCCTCAGTTAATTAGACTCACCTGTTTCTCATGGGCCTGTTGTTCCTGTACTGATATTTCCTGTCTTTTTAATCATACATTGAAGCTATTTTAGTTTAAATTTTATGTTACTGAATCCACATCTGATTTATTCTCCTCCAGGTATTGGAGTTTAATTTTCCTTCATTGAGGATAAAAAAAAGCATGTTGGTATCATATTTCAGACCAATTTCTGCTCAAAACACTAAACATTGCAGTTTAACATGTTTTATATTTTGGATACAAATTGTTTATGTGTTTCAACTTTATATGTCAGATAAAGTGTTTCAAACTGAAAAGTGTGGTGTCTTTGTTTTGTTTCTTCAGTGATTAACTAAAGTCTAAATTTTATGTATATATTATGTGTGGGTTTCTATCTATCTATCTATCTATCTATCTATCTATCTATCTATCTATCTATCTATCTATCTATCTATCTATCTATCTATCTATCTATCCTAATATGTAGTGATGTGATAAATGTTGCACAGCAGTGTAATAAACAAACCAGTTTAGCAGCCACTTATTTTATATTACACAAGCATAATTACAAAATTTTTTAGACATTTCTAATTACAGAATTATTAAATAGACAATATTTCAAAACACAGTTAAACTGTTAAGGCCTTTTGGATTTGTAAAGATCAAGATGAATCTATAGGCTCTAAACTGCAGATTCACATTAAAGCATAATTATGTTATGCTGGACACAGAAGAAAAAGGGATTTTAAAAATGTAAAAATGACATTCAGCATCCCTGAAGTTTTTTCTGCTGAATCTGCTGAAGTGAAATAATGTCTCCTGCGGTAAAGTGAGTCATGATGAAAAACAGGATCAGATCTCAGAAAACCAGGAGTTTTAGTTAGTAAGGCTTCTACATCCGCAGCAGCACAGACTGTGTTTTCTCTGAGGACAGCTGGTGGCGCTGTTGTTTGATAATGTCCAGAGCTTGTCTGACAACCTGCGAAGGAAAAGAAAATCAGACTTCTCCAACCTCCTCCTGGATTAATTATATGAAAATAAGTCAGTATCTTTACCTTTCTGGTTTCCTGAGGCAGAATGACTCCGTCGTCCCACATCCTGCCAGAGGAGAAGAACGCTGAACTTTCCTCCTCTAGCTTCTCATTCAGCTTCTTCTCCTCTTCCGGTTTGGTGTCGGCAGGTAGCAGCGAGTTAGCATGACCTGGCGCCGCCAGCGACACTCTGGCGTTGGGCCACAGGAACAGGAAGTTGGGATCAAAGGCCCGTCCACACTGAGCACCCACAGAAAAGAAAACGGTGAGCTTCATTGTTTTGATTGTCAATTGCTAAATTCTCATGAGAGCGAACAGAAATCACATGTGAGGTACCACAAGGTTTGATCCTGGGACCCCTTCTATTTAATGTCAATTTTTAAACTGAAAAACAACTTTTGTGCTGAAAAAAAAGATTTCAAAGTGAATTTTTTTTTTATTGAAAATTTTAAAAAATTAAACTGATAAATAATTTTTTTACTGACAAGAAATTGAAAATAAAAAATTACTTTTAATCTGGAAACTTTAAAATGTGAAATTGTGAAACAATTTTTATACTGGAAAAAACAAGTAAGTGAAAGAAAGTGAATTTTGAATTTTTTTTTCAATTTTAAAATAATTTTTAAACACTTTATGGCATCAATTTAGCTCTAAGGATTTAACTAATTTCATGCTGTTGGTTTTAGTTTCCAGTTTTCACACTGGAAACAAAAATTTTAAAGAAATTATTTTATACTGAAAAAAGAACGTTTTAAATAAAATAAAATAAAAAAAATATTTCGAAACCGAAAACTAAAAAACTTTAAAGTGAACAAGTGTACAGAAAAATATTTGAAAGTGGAAAAAGAGCCTTGAATCTGAAAAGTAGTTAGAAACTTTTTAAAACTTTAACTTTGCTTCAGTTTTCAAATTGTACTTTCAGATAAATTTATACTTATTTATTTTTGAAAACAAACTTTATGGCAGCTATTAGATCAATATAATGAAATAATTTTATGTTCTAAATAGAAACAGAAAAACAAAGGGGAAAAAAAACAGGCGCTCACCATGGCGTAACTGTCGCCGCCATGGCAGCCACCAATCACCACGGTGATTTTTGGGACGGAGGCGCAGGCCACCGCCGACATCATTGAACCCTGAGCCTTCAGACGGTTGCTGTTCGTTTCTGCCTGTCAGAAACGAATCGCTTTACCAGGTCCTTATGTCTACAGGTTTTAATCACATGGTGTAAGGTTTGTTGTCATGCAGATGACAGATCGTTGTTCGGCTGCTTTTACCTGCGCGGCAGAAAGCGTCGGCGCCGCTGCAGGCGGCGTGTTCTGGAGGAAAAGCAGCGGTACGTCTCTCTGGTCACACAGCTGGACGAAATGAGTCCCTTTCAGCGCCGCTTCGTACGTCAGCGCGCCATTATTGGCGACTATTCCCACCAGGTGGCTAAAAACATAAAAGAAGAAGTTGCAAAATCAGAGTTTAAAGCCTTAACAGAAAAATAAAACAAGATATGACAGAAGAATGTTGTTTGTTACGGATGAAAATAGCAGAAGATATGATTAAAACAATTATTAATCTAAAATGTTTTTTATTTTATTTCAAAAAACCTCCCAAGGAAATATGTTAACTTGAAATGTAAAAAAATGGCTAGAAAAATTTCTGAAGTTTTGAGATTTCAGAAATGTTGTTTTCTGGCTTCAAAAGTTTAATATTTTTGACTCAAGACTCAGAAATGTCAAACGCAGTCTAATTATTTTCATTTATTGCTTTTACTGTTAAAAGTATTCTGAATGTTTGTGCTCAAATATAAAGGCTAAATCAGAGCTTCAAAATTAAAAGATTACTTTATTTTAGGGATGCAACTAGTAATTATTGTGGCAATTAATCGGATAAAAAATCTGCAGATGTTTTTATTTAACCACATCATCAGTTATAACATGGGAAAATGTCTGGTTATTATAAAGAACTAGAGCTTTTACATCAATATTAAGTAATTATTTACTTAAAATAAACGCCTGTTTCTTCCTGGAAAGTTACTTCTACGTTAGTCACCTTCGTTTTGTCTTATTACAAGTGTACTAAGATATTTCAATTAGAAACTAGACCAAAAATACTCTTTATTTTTTTGCAATATTTTGCATGTGAATATAGTAGTGGTTATTTTTTTACCCATGAATCTTTGCAAAACCAGTAAGGAGTGTGGTTCCGTATCGACCTTTGAACTCCTGGAAGCGGCTCCCGTCTGTCAGTCGACTCACAATCTGAGCGGGAAACGGAAACGCAGTTTGGTCAGATCAGAACCGCTGCAAAAAAACTATTTCATGTTTTAGTGTATTGATGATTTATTGGACTAAAATGAGCTCCAATCGATTATCGATTCACTACTAACAGCTGTTTGTGTTTGCTTGACCTGTTGTAGAGGAGTCGGTGCTAAACATATTGTATTCTCTTCATCTTTTACTTTTCTGTTCAGCAACTTAATCTCTGTTTTGTTGCATTTCATCAGATACTTGCCTACAATTCTTGCTAGTTTTATATTGAAAGAAACTAATTTATGGTCTTTAAAATACCTTGTTTGTGTTTATTCAGCCAATATCTAATACAACAGATTTGTTTTTAATTCAGCACATTACGAAAAACGTAGTCAATCCTCTAGATATGAGCAAAACCTCAGGTTTTTAAGAAAATGGCAGCTTATCAGTTAATCAATAAGATCAATCAGTAATTTATAAGTAGTGCGTTACCATCTTCACATCCAGAGTGTGGCTGTAGCTCCGAGGAGCGAGTCCCAGAAGCTCCTCTGAACTGTGCAGTGGCTCCTCTGCTGCTTTCCTCTTGGCCGTGTCCTCCTCCTCTTCCTCCTCTTCCTCAGGCAGGTGGAAGTTCAGGGTGGAGATTATGTTTCTGGTGTGATCAAACGCCTCCTTCTCCTCCCACGCAAAGTGGTCCACACACCCACTCACCCTGAAACGAAGCAGCGATCAGGGATAGATTCTCAGTCAGTTCTGTAGACAAATGTTTTGTCTACATTCTACTGAAAAAAATAACACAATTTTCCAATTGTGGTGTTTCCATTACAGAAGAAATTACATTTACATTTAAATTAAGCTCGTTCACATATAATTGTTGAAAATCCCGGCTCTGAGGGATGTAAATAGATGAAATATATTCATAATTCAGCCGTCAGATGAGACGTCTGCCTTTTATTCAGCCATTGGCGTCGATACATTTGCAACATTTTGGTGATTTTGCAGAAGAGATACGACAGCGTTTTATAAACTATACGATGCTGAAAGCTGCACATTATCTAAATAAACAATCATCCTCCTACCACTTCCTGTCATCTTCTGCATTTTCCACAGTAGCAACATATGGCTGTTGATCATATGTGATGTAAAAAACGTTGCTGTGTTTCCATTAATTTGATTAATAGAAATGTGCCAATTCAGAGAAAAATTCACGTTTTTTGATAAAATGTTTTTGTGCCAAAATGAGTCGTATAGAAATGGGTGTATTTCACAAAACTGCAATAAACTCTTTGGTTGTCCCATGAGCTACAATCGGATGTTACTACTAATTTCCCTAACATTTTCACTAACAACAGTAAGTTGTCTTCTTTGTGATTTGCTTTTTTGGACAATGTGCGGATCAGAAAAACTTGTCATTCTTAACTGTTGAACCCAAAGTTCTTCGGTAAAATTACAGATTACAATTTCCCCAAAACGTGTTGCTGGTCCCAAGGAGGCGGAACTTGTCGCTCCAACACCTGAATAAGATGTTGTCGTCTGCTCTGATTGGCTGACTTATGAAAACATTTCATGTGACTGTTTACATTTGTCACTGAGGTTATTTTAGTTTTTGTACTTGCTGCAACATTCATTGCCCAATTTGTGGTACGAATAAATCTGACATCTGAATCCATTGCAGTTTTGCAAAGTAAAAATATTTTGATACAAAACCCTTTTTTGTTTAGTTTTTTTTCTAAATTGTCATGCTTTTTTTAAGCAAATGTATTTTTGTAATTCCAGTTTGGAGCGGCTCTGATTCCGGCCCTTACTCGGCGTGCAGTCGGGCCCCTCCCAGGTCCTCCGGGGTCACCACCTCTCCTGTAGCGGCTTTGACGAGCGGCGGGCCTCCCAGGAAGATGGTTCCTATCCGGTGCACCATCACCGCCTCCTCTGCCATGGTGGGGATGTAAGCGCCACCAGCAGTACACGACCCGCACACCAGCGCCACCTTCCAGACCATAACGGCGTTTAATCCACCAAAAAGATGCACAAAATCCCTAAAATACTCTAGAGCAGAAAAGCGGATCGGTTCATTCATATATTTTACCTGTGGGATCTTCATGGCAGACATGATGGCTTCGTTATAGAAAGTCCTTCCTCCCTGGTTCTTATCGGGAAAAATCTCTGACTGGATATTTATTAGATACAAAAAGGTTTTAGGGGCCAACATGGCGGCTGGTGTGATCCACCTGAATGTGATCAAATGAACCTGTAAAGGTAGGAAAGCTCCTCCAGAGTCCACCAGGTAGACGCAAGGCAGCCGGTTCTGAATGGCGACTTCCTGAGCTCTCAGCTGCTTCTTCACTGTGATGGGATACGCTGTGCCGCCTTTCACTGTGGCGTCGTTGGCAATGAACACACACCACAGGCCGTTGATCCTGCCAACGCCTGCACACACACACACACACACACACACACACACAAGCACACGCACACACAAGCGCGCGCGCACACACACACGCACACGGTCATTCAGCTGGAAGTGTGTGAGACAAGATAGCTGCGTTTCCATTACAAATGTACACAAAACCTGGTCAATTTTCCTGCATTAGATAAGAAACACAATAAAAATCACATGATGAATCTTTAAAAAAAAAAATGTCGCCCTTCGTCCTCCAACTACTTCCTGTTGTCTTCTTCTTCTTTTACTTTAGTATAATTTTTGGGTATTTGTTTCAAAGAATGCGAGACGGTAGTTTTTAAGTCTACGTTTGCTGTGAAGTCTATTGAACACACAAATCTTATTTTAAAAACAATATTAAAAAATTACCTCATCTTGGGGCCAAAACTTTTCATCAGGAAAGAGAAGTTCTGTTCAAAATCGCAGCTTCCATTAAGCAGATTTACCTTCGTATTGTAAAACGCAGTAAATGTCATCAGATTTCATTTAACCACAGCCGCTGCTTTGCAGTTCACCAACACGCCCACTCTTCTTCATTGTCTCGTCTTTCGTCTAGCACCACCTCTGGTCAGGAGTGGTAATGTTTCTACATTCCTTACTGCATTATGTGTTGTAAGCGACGTCAAAATGTACGACTTTATTGTGAATGGAAACGCAGCTTCAGAAAGTTTTTGGTACTTTATTTATTTAAAGTACCAAAGACACATCTAGGGATTTCTGACCAGTCAGGCAGCCGGCTGAAGGAATGTCGCCGTACGGCAAACCCATCCCAGCGAACCGGGAAAGCTCCAGGAAGTCGTCATCATCCAACAGGAAGCGGAGGCGGTCCCTGACCAGCAGCTTCCTGTTTCTCTGTGTGTGTCTGACTACAGCGTTTTCCCCTCCGCCTCGCCTCACCTTCTCCTGTAACTCAGTGTACCTAACAGAGGAAAACGGAGATGTAAACAAACTTCAGTCCTGGAAACCAAGGTTATCATAGTGAACTAAATAATAAAATAATGAAAGCTGACATTCAAAAAACATTTTTGTGAATAAAAACAATAATTAAAACTGTGATGGTTTCCATCAGCTGTCGGCAAATTGCGGCGCTTACTCTAGCAAACGTTGGACCACCACAGTCAGTTAGTTGGTTTTAATAAATGAATAAAAAAATTGTCTTTTGCTGAATAGTCATTACTCAGTCAATTAAATTCTGTACCTAAAAATGAACCAAAGTATGAAAAACTAAAACTACAATTATTATAAAAACGAATCAATATTTGACAAACACTAATTAAAACTAACTAAATTAGACAAACCAAAAGGTCACAAAGAAATAAAACTGAACTGTAATGAAAACCCAACACTATTATGATCTATGCTAGAAAGTCTGGTTTGTTTGGGGAGGAGTGAATGGAGATTGTTTTTGATTCCACTGCTGTCCAGCTGAATCTCCATGCAGTGAACAGAAGGTGATGCAACTGTCTGACTTAACAAATGTTTGTTCTACTGCGTAAGTTCTGTAATTCCTGTAAATAAACGAGAAATTTGGCATTTTTTATGCACTGTGACGTGTGAGCTGAAGCTACTTGTTTTGGCAGGCGCGGCTGTTTCTCAGGTTTGCCTCGTAGACGTGGCGCTGGATGGGCAGCAGGGGGAGCTCCAGCACCGGGAAGGAGCTGCGCAGAGCTTTCCGCTTCGCAGCCGCAGAGCGAACCGAGAACTGCCGGCGCTGCTCAGCAAACCTGTGAAACACAAAACGAGAGCAAACCCAGTAGTATGGACCAAATACCTCAAAATCAATGCAACATTTTAGAACTCAAATGATTAATTGCATTAATGGATTATTGACATAATCGTGAACTGGAATATACACTCATTTGCTGAAAGAACAACACATTCAGAGCAGTAATTAACATAAAACTATAAGAAAAAATGTATATTTTGCATTTAAGACGAATAAACAAAAAACTTGTCTGTAAAAAACACAGTCCAAATTCTGTAAAAAAAATTCTCTTGGACACCTGTTGCTATCAATTATTATGTATTGATAAGTCAGAAGGGCTGAGCTTTTTACATGTTGATGATACAAGTATTTTATTTATAGCTTTAAATGCATTGAATTCTACAAATGATCAATTGTTCACTAAATGAATGCTGCTGTTGCATTTTAGACTATAACATTTTTATTAAATAATTTGTATTATTCTAATATCCTCTTCATAAGACTGCTTTACAGTGTCTTCAGTCAGAGGCCTTTTCACGGTCGCTGTAATACAGACTGCTACAGGAGAACCTTCCTCCCCGACAGCCATCAGCGTTTCTTTGAAGAAGAAATTGAATGAGTTGCAGCATTTAATTTTCCTTTGAGATCAATACGGTTTTTATTTATTTATTTTTATATGTTAGCTTCTGAATGTAGCTGGTTGCACTGAAGTATTTGAAACACTTTGAATTTGTAAAAAGTCAACAATAAAACTATAATTTTCTTTCCATTTCACAGTCATGCTTCACTTTGTGTTTAACAGTCGGCATAAATCATTTAAAACGACCGATAATTTGTGTTTGCATGAAAAAGCTCCGTGGGTGTGAATATTTTTTGGCAGCAATATTCGCACAAAACGCTGCATTAAATCACCCTGACATGAAAAACATGTTAAGTGTGCCAAAGGTCGTCTGAACGCGCTGCGGAGGTTAAATAAAAGACACAAAGAAACAAATAATCGCTCCTCTCGTTACCTTAAGATGCAGCGCTGCATGTTTCACAGGCTGCAACGCAGCTAATTACGGCTTTAATAAACTAATTCTGACGCCAACGTCCATTGATCTAAACTACAACCACAGCAGCCATTAAGCGCTTCTTCTCGCTTTGTTGACAGCGGTGATTCCTGGACGCACTCCACTGCCCCCTATCGGCACGGCTGTAATTACAAGCGGCACAACGCAAAGACTTTTCAAGGTTTCATATTTCACTAAATTACAAGAAACTGATAGGTTGAGTCGCTTTAGAGTATAAATCCGCTAAAAGCAAATAATTCAGTAATCAAACATAATGAGTTATATTTCATTTTAGCTCCAAATTAAGAGGCAAAACGTGAAGATGATTCAACAAATTTAAATCTTTATAACTGATACATTTGTGGTGAAATTTAATTTTAGCAGTTTTAAGTCCAAGAACTAACTGTAATAACTAATTTAAACCACTAAAAAACTTTAAATAAATGTAACTTAGAAAGAGAAAAACTTCCCTGGTCTGCTCAAAAAAAGAGAGAGAAAAATAGAAAAAGAATGTTTGATATTTGTCTTTACATAAGTTAAACTTGGTCACAATTTACCTTTTTAAAACACATATCCAGTACAATTCAACTGAAAAATAAATACATGTTTTACAAGTAAAAACACCCCCAAAAAAACTTTGTCAGTAATCCGTCTGGATTGTTTTCTTACAACATTACTCCATAATCCAAAAAATAAGTAACAACGGTGTGTTATTATGTACAGAAATTGTTGGAATGTTTTTGTTGGTCTTTCAGTGTTAAAATAGTTTGTCATTCTTTATAACATAAAATCCTTTCATTTGACCACAAACCTCAGTCGCAGCATTGCAGCTGTAATTATACAACGTGGCCACTAGAGGGAACCAGAGCATTATTTTGAAACAATCTGACCATGTGGCTTCATAGATTGATTTGATTTTATGAATAATGTCTTGCAGCAAATTATATGCTCCAGTTCCACAAAAAAGCGAAAAAACTGCATTTCAGAAATTCCAAAGTAAATAACAATAACAGAGTGACATAACAGGGCTGGATTTAATAAATTGTGGAGCCCTGGGCAAGAGATTTGGTGCCCAAGTCACAGTTTTTATTAAAAAAAGAGTTTGTATTTTTCAAAATTCCTACAGATTAAGCATAGCATCATTTCTAAATAATGAACAACTAAAAGACTGAAAAAAAGATTGCAATTGTCAGTTCTGTCAGTTCTGAGATTATAATGATAAAAGCTGAAATATTAAAAACAATCTGGTGAAATTAGAGCCTAAGTCTTGCTACAATTGACATGATTATGAAAGTCATCTACACAAAAAACTAATTTAAACCGCTAAGTTAAAACTTTTTTTTGTGACTCTGCTGTATAAATAAGTCACATTTTTCAACTTGTAAATTTTTTTAAGAAATAAAATGTTGCAAGTTCAGTAAAAAAAAAAGGTTTGCTTTTTGTTTAGTCATTTACTGCTTTGTGTTTGTTATGCTAATTAGTGTTTCATGTCATTACTTGAATTTTTCTGTCTAATTTGTAATTTTTGAGTGAAAAATTTGAAATACATACTGAAAACAAATACTTAAAAAACTAACATTAATTGCTTCTTAATAAGAATGTTTATGTAATTGTAAAATTTGAAGTGAATCATATTTAAAAAGAAACTGAGATCAAATAATTGTTACTAAGCAGTAAGTTGTTTTTTTATACATTTGTTTCGGTATTTTTCTGTTTATAAAACTGATTTGCAGTTTTCAGCACCACAGATAATTAGCCTATCTACCTTTTGGACCCTAACCCTAACCCAGGGTTTTGGACCGTGCGGAGCGGCATTACGGCGCTGGTCCTGCTGTGGGGCGGCCCTGCTGGCTCAGTGGGAGGAGGAGAGTCAGGCAGTCAGGAGGAGGACGGGAGTCCCAGCGGCACTTGGGGAGAACCAGGCGGGGGGAAAAGTGCGTCCGAACCGGGAGAAGTCACACGGAGGTGTCCGCCATGAGTTGGGGAACGGAGCTCTGGGTGAGTTTCCAACTCTTTCCCAGCTGTTTTCCGGCTCGGCTGTTCCCGTGTGGGGCTCCGGCGGCGCGGCCGGGACTTTTTATTTCATTTTATCTTAATTTTCTGTGTCGGGACGTCGAGTGGAAGGAAGGTGCCGCGGTTCGGGTCCAGCTTTGTGTGGAAGGCGGCGCTGCTAGCCGGCGATGCTATTGCTAAAGCTAATCCACCTTAACGGCTGTGACAGCGGCGCGCGGAACAATAGGCAGCCCGGGGCTGGCGCGCGGGGTCCGGGGCGGCGGGGCTCTGCCTCCCCGGTCCGGCGGCTCGTTATTCACTTAAATCACCGCCGCGTCGCTGGGCGCTATTGTTCATATGTGTGAGAGAAGTTAAGTTGTATTTTTCACGGTGTTTTTGTGTCACACCCATCCTCCCCAGGCTCCTTTTAAAATTAACCTCAATTAAGCTTCTTCTTCTTCTGCGTCTCTTTGTCTTTGCTTGAGCGTCACGTGACTGAATTTATGTGTAAAAACAGCAATGGGTTGTTTTAACACACTATTTCATGTTCTGTACAGTTAAATCATGACTTTAGTGAGGAAATCATGATGGAGTCTCAGCTCTCAGTCTCAATTGGAAGTGCTGTTGCATAATGTCAGTGTTTGTTCAGGGTATTATTATTATTATTATTATTATTATTATTTGTGGTGTATATATTTGGGTGTTGGCCCAGCCCAATGTGTGAAACCAGAGAGGCAACCAGCAGCATCCCCCCTCTCTCAGATGAGGAGGAGCAGCAGGAGGAGGGGATACTTGTTGTCCCAGATGATTCTCCTCCATCTGATCGCTGTGTTTATTATCTGGCATGAGAAATAAGCTCATTTTTTGCTTGCTCAGCCCCCACATGTAACATGACCATGCTGCAGCGGACAAAGAGATAAAAGTTTGCTTTTGTGAAAGGAGTTTGGTTTGTTTTGGGGTTCATTTTTCTCCCCATTCATGTTTTCTGTCCAGTTTTAACCAATCTAGCCCCGTGTTCTGTTTTCTTTTTAAAGTCTTGCTAAAACGGGAAACAAATTTTGCTGAACGATAAATTGTACCAAAACTGATTGCGATAAACGATAAAATCGACCATTTTCAAGTAATACAATGGTAATAATTTAATAACCTTTTGAAAAAGATCAATAAATGTTCAATTCTAGTCAACATTGAGCATTGGAAATGAAAGAGATCTTAAATGTCCAACATAAATAAACAAAACAGTAAATAAAATGAATTATGAAGTCTCTGGAAACAAAATTGTCCCTCAAAAAAGGACAATTGTGAGACCAATAAACCAATCTGAATACTTTTAACATCCAGTTTTTGGTAAAAAGAGAGAAAAAGCAATAAATCACGCAAACAAAAATGAAGTTTTTTGTCCTTTTTAAACCACATTTTGTCTCTTACTATGCTCTTATTTTAAATTAATAGCAAGTAGGACCACAAATACCGCAACATTCACTATAATAACGACTTGGATTCATCCATTCATTAAAGTTGTAATTTAATTTATCTTAGAAAACCAAATATTAATTATTGTTTTTATAATTAATGTCAGTAATGTGGTACCAGTTGGTAAAAACCCATTAGGTGGAGGCTCAGTGTGTGTGAAGTCACTGATTTTTCAGCAATCCCTCATCCTCACAAGTATGTTGCTTTAATAGAAAAGACTTTAAGCGTTGCTTGTTTGCTGTGTGTGATGTCAATGAAACATCCGCCAAATGTTTAATAATCAAATATTAGTAATTTATCGCTGCATCGTGTCTTTTCCTCCAGCCATGCAGAAAAGCAACCTGTCTCTCACCAGCTACAGTGGAAATGTAATCCCTGAATCCCCTGATTGGATTAATGTGGAAGCTGTCTGTGGTCAGATTAAGGATTAAATGTAAATTATGTAAATCTGCTGATTGGTTAGTGAGATGCTCAGATGACTGCAGACCGAATCTCATTTATGAAACCAACTGATTTCAGATTCTGCTGTCAATTCTCTCTAAAAGTTAAAAAACGTGACTGGATATTCAGTCCTGCTGATCAACGCTAGCCAACCCATAATAGAGCCACTTTCACTGTTACAACATCATAATATGGTCACAAAAAATACCTAGAGACTTGAAATGCTGCTGCTGAGATTTGTAATTATCACATTGATTACAGTTGACCTTCATTTTTTCATTGCATTTTTAAGTTTAAGCTTCTCAGTTGCTGATATTTACATCTAATTTAGAGACCAAGGGTTGTTAAAGACTGAATTCAATTCAGTTAACTAATACTTTATTTATCCTAAAGGGACAGTAAATGTTCTCTTAACTGATGTCATGTAATATCTTCAGAGTCGTTGTGGATGTTGGCAGCAACACCATCAGTTGTTAAATAAACTGCTAATCCACTTTATTTGCTTTTGCTGCTGCTCTTTAAGTCTCTACCTGGCCGTTAGAGAGATGTTGGAGTAGGGGATAAGATCTTTTGCCATTATGATTGATTGAAGGGGTTAGTTTGAACTTCCTCCTTCTTTCTCTGCGTTTTGGTCCTTATTGTGATATTGTAAACACAGGGGTTGTGATTAGGTCTGTCGCAATAAGCAATAAATCAATTAATCTCATGATAACTTAAAATGAGCTCAATAATTTCCATTTGTATTATTTATTGTTTTTTTTCTTGATTTAAGTCTTCAGCCTGGTGTTTTGATCCCTGCCTTGTTTTGGAGACTCATTCATTTTATTGTCCTTTAGTGTATTTTTGGATATTTAGAATTTCTTCCACTTCCAGTCTTAAATGTTCACTTTAAAGTTTATTGATATTTGAGAATGTTTCCTTGCATTAGTATTATTACCAATATATTGCTGGAAAATGGCCTCAGAGTTGCAGTATTATTGTTTATCACAACAATTTATCTTCCAGTAGATTTTGTTTTTGTGACCAGCCCAGCGGCAGCATCTCCATCAGGAGTCTCAGTGCTGTTTGGTTTAGCTTTTGCTTTGTGCTTTGGCTCCTGCTCATCCTTACAAAGCAAGTGAGGAACATCCTATTACTGCGCTGGCTTCCTGCGCCAACACACACACACACGCACGCACGCACACACACACGCACGCACGCACGCACGCACACACGTGTGTGTCTGAATCGGAGCTGTGTCTGTGTTCTGCGTGTGCGTTAGAGCCAGGATGCCGGCCTGCTGCGCTCAGGTCTGTCTGAGCGAGTCGGGCTTGAGCCCAGCAGGACGGAGCGGTCAGAACCGGCTGAAGGACAACGGGCTGACAGGCGGTCGTCCATGTTGGCCGGCCAAACTGAAAGACAAGCATAAGGGGATGGAATCTTAGACGGTGGTGTGGAAAGGTCAATCTCTACATGGCTGTAGGATTTCACAGTGAAAGCTGTGGAATGAAAAGGATTGACCGACTCAGATCAGCGATGTGGACGCTGCCGACGGCGTGGATTTGGAGTTCCTCAAAGTGTCCAGTGTTGCTGTTTGTCCTGCTTCAGTCGGGAGCATTGTTTCCATTCTCTGCCTCACATTCAGACTTCCACAAAGGTGCTTGTTATTCGTGCTCCTGTTTGTGACATTTATAGCCTGCAGACTCCATGTCTGGACACAGGCAACAGTCTAGGATCTCTGGGGTTACTTTGACTATACCATCCACAAATGTACAACAAAAAACAAAATTATTCTGAAATGTAACTGTTGGAGAACATGAGTTTTTCACATATGTCAAGTTATAGCCACAAATTTCAGTGGTTTATATGAGGGGGGTCCAAAGTGCGGCCCGGGGGCCATTTGTCGCTCTTGGAATAATTTTGTGTGGGCCCTGATTGCAGTTCAAAAAACATACAAATTAGATTATTTTTATAATTAAGATGAGATTTCTTCTTAAACCAAGGTCAGATCCATCAAGACCGGACTGAAGAAGACCAAACATAACGAACCTGGACCTTCCAAGGCCCAGGCTGTAGAGAACAAATTAATGGACAAAAGTCAACGACTCAACCAAAACTATTAATTGGTATTAAACTAATAATTGTCATCATAACCTGATATTTAAGTTATTAAATGCAGGCAAACATCAATACATAATCTCTACACTGATTTCATCAGCTTTCTATGGACTTGTATGATAAATAATAATACAAAACACAATAGGAGGTGAATAAATATGCGTCATATCAGGCATGGACCAAGATAAACCAGCTCCAGACCCTCCATCTCTTTATCATTGCCAGTCATTGACCAGGAATCTTCTGGTGTTTCAGCCCAGCTCAGCACAGTCCTGAAAATATCAAACCTCGGCGTGTGGTTTCTTCTGATTTATGAATCCATGGAAGTTGTGGTTCTTTAGAGATTGGCTACTGTTGGATGAAGCAGCAGGCTTGTCCCTCGCAGGCCCCAGCGGGTGAGAAAACAAGTCCTGCTGAAGCCGAGGGCGCCGGCCTGGACATGACAAGCTGTTAGACTCCGTCCAGCCAAGCTTGTCAACACGTCGTCTGCAGGGGGAGGGGAGTGTTTTCCTAGGTGTGAGGAAGGGAGCTTGATGTTTTCGGATCAAGATGTGTGACGGCAATGGGTGAAGCCCACGTTGGCCCTTATGAGAGGGTGTATGTCTTTCCTAATTAGAAGAATGTCCCAGCAGGAGAGACGGACTTGAAGATGGAGGGGAGGGACGGATGGAAGGAAGTTTAGTAATGGGAGATGCACAGGGATATTTTGGTTTGGTCGGGGGAGGCGGGTTGATGAAGGCTGAGACATGAGCCGAGTTTAGACATAATGGATTATATGAAACTTTAATGATCCCACTGGACGTTTGTGGTAACGTGATACGTTGTGATTGAATGGGATGTCAGTCAGAGCAGATGAAAATTAATTTGGCTAAAGGGATCTTTTTGTGATCTTCTCCATCCTCAGTCTGAAAGCTTTCCTGTGTCAAAATCTATTTAGATTTTATTTAATAATCTTCTGAAACAAAATAAAAAGCCATAAAAGTGAATCGGTTAGC